GTTGCATTTCAGGCAGACTATGGAGGAATAAGCCTATCTCACAGTCCTGGATCCAGGGCACGTTGTGATTACAAATCCTACACCTGTATAACGAATTCGTGCCAACTGCCTTTAAACAACTTAATTACTTGACGACAATGAAGCACCATTACAAATTCTTTGAGTGAGCCAAAGAAAACTACTACGTACCCCCAATTCTTTCATTTACCAGTGAATCGAAGCCGAGTCAATTTCACCAATTACACACTGACTGCTGTGAACTGTATGACGTTGGTGTGGCTTATTCTTATCTACAGAACAGACAAGCGCTATCTACAAAGGTGAGTGTTTAACTAAAAAATAAGCATTTGTTGATTGCGAGCGTTCCGATGCAGTTCCTTAAACAGACAGTCACTGAACAAAATGTTTCAGGATTGATATGGGGCTATCGAATCGCTACCAAAACCAGGAGAATGTTTCGAGCGCTCGCTTGACGATTGTCGTCGGGTCTACGCAGCTCCTTTTTTTCGCAGCTCATTTGGCGATAAACATGAGCCGAAGAACTTTATTTACTACTATGGACACTGTGCTCTATAGGACTCTTGAGAGCGTGGGCTATGTAAGTTTCCAAGAATATTCAAGGAACTAAAGCAGAAAAAAGCCAATGTTCAAACCAATTTAGACGGGCTCACTCTTGAAGCTATCAACCATCCGTGGCCATTCAGGGTGCAACACAGGGATGGGAGAAATGGTGTTGTCCATGAACCTACTTGGTATTATCGCAAGCAGTCGAGTCGATTTTCAGGGGAAGGACTAACCGCACTTGCGTGCTTGCCATCGCTGGTTGTTCTCCTCCTAAATCGATAACTAGCCGATCTCCATTGGTAGAGCAAGGCAACTGGAGGCGGGCTCATCCTGCCCTCCTCATACCGCCTCCGACTGGCTCGATGTAATAAGCTATATTAAAGCATCTGCGCTTATGAATGAAATCCAAAAGCGTTACTCCTTTATCGTAATCAAAGGCGCACAGCGCGACCACAATTAGTGATCTTTGGACTTTTGCGTCCAAGAATACTCAATATGCCACGGAAGTTGTGGATGGTAGCGACTTACACTCGAAATCGCTGAGATGCGGTGGGCGTGGCTACGTACTTGAATTGAACGTGGGCGGGCAAGATTCCCGTAAGATGTTTTTGTTCTGTAACCACGGCTCTGTCCACCACAGAACAAGTCGACCATGGCCTCGAATGGAAATAAACCCCACGAAGTAACACATCCTATGCCATGTTTGAATGCCGTGCCTACTCCTTCTTAGGGACAAGGAGTATACATTGGGAAAAAGTGGACAAAAGTAGACGGTCTGTTAAGCCCAAAGTGTCGATGAGTGTCCAAAAAGAGAGAACTGATGCGCATACGAGAGACCATAGACAAAGCATGGGAAACACGAAGTGGGGTTGAAAGATGAGCGAGGCGATAAAGGGTGTCCCACGTGGAATGCAGGAACGCAGCACATTTGTGTTTGTAGATATAGGACCGCACACGTAAATCGTCCCCAGATGGAAGGGGCAAATTTTAATGGCATCACACCGCAGTCGTCACTCACTGTCGAGGCACCAGAGTGTGAGATCCCCAGACTGCAAAGCGGGAAACTGCTCTGATCGTTACGGATAAAGAAGCTTTTATGCATTTGACGAGCAGTCGTCGCCTTCTCCACCTCCAAGCCAGCGCCAAATTCATCCAACCCCCCTGATACCGCTCATCATTCATCACAGAACAAAACTGCACAGTTTTTTAAAATCACTTTCAGATTGGGTTGGTTTTTTCGGACAGATTGAGCAAGTTATGGCCCAACGTGTCAGACCTGCTTGTTTTCTTCTAAATCGACACCATATCCCCATTGGCAGGGCAAAGCAGTGTTCGAACATAGCGGTGACGCGCGCCGACGCGCTGTAAGGTGCGGAAACAAGCTGTACGTGCTTTCGCGCGCGTGGACGCGCTGCAACTATAACCGCGCTCCAATCCTTTAACGCGGCCGATCGGCGCTGTACCTATGGGCCACTGCCTCAATATCAGATTGCGTGATTAAGCAACACTCTCCCATACTATTTCAATACATGGGTTTGCCACGCTGATCAATTACTGTCTGCGGCTGCATTCGCGCCTATGAAGCGCTCGTGCAATCGCAGCGCGTTACAGTGCGTAGTCGCTAAGTCTGAACACTGCCAAAGGAGGGCTCATTTCCGCCTCTCCTGCAAGCGATCCGTCTATGGCGATCCTTCGCGGAATGCATTTTCAAGAGTTAATCTCCGTGCGATGCTTCGCGGAGTGCGTTTTGGAACGATGCCGAGAGCTTAATCCGCATCTAATGATGTGTAGTGTTTAAATAGAACTATAGTGACAGTGAAAAAGAAAAGCTATTTGTGAAGATACCCTTAGCTCAATATCTCTCTGTGAAAATAGAAAATGGCTTCTGAAAATGCCCTTACATAGTTTCGCTCCTCCACTTATTTTTATTTTTCAGCTTCTCACTTATTATTCGCTTACACTTTCTCTTGTCATGTACATATATATTAAACGACAAATCCGTAACAAAATCACTTCATTACAAGATAGCATCCATCGAAACTCTTCTAAAGGAGCTGAAAGCACGAATCTCTACTTCAGCATGTATGGAAAACAATGGTGATGCTAGGTATCAGAGCGATAAATATTTTCGTAATTATGTGTTGTTTCTTATCGATGTTGCTTACTTATGATAGCCATTGAGCAACGATCAAAACTGCTTTCTCACAAAGCATACATCAATCGTGTGAGTGCTTTAAGTCTATGGCACAAAGCCCAAAGCTGGAGAATAAAAGCACCCGCTACCGCAATGGAACACCCAAACGCCCGGTCAGCGAGAGATGCACGTTCGAGTCCCGCCTGAGGTTTCAGTTTTGCCGATAACTCAGCATTGTTGTGATGCCTTTCAGAGCGTAAACCATGGCGTTAAATAGCAGCTGTCGAAAAAACATATCAGAGAGTGGAAATCTGTCGTCATGCGTTGATCGCATTAAGATTTACCCCATGATTGCTGTCTATTAGTGTCTGGGCTCCGGTGAACTCGGTCTTTGCTGTTATCTCTGTGAATCCTTTGTTTCGCTACCTCTCATCGCTGTGCATTCCTACTCTGCGTGTTGCGCAAAGTATAATCGGTAATGGCGCAGTGACCACTATCCCATGTCATTAGGAGAGGTTGGGGGAGCGAGGCACAGGGAAAGAGATGAAAAGGTTGAACAGAGATAGCCGCAAAGATCGGGAGTCGATATGAGGTGCCCTCCCTTCGAGTGGAAGTATAGCATTTTGCCCTGGGAGTAAATTCACTAGAAAAGAATGTGAGTTCCTCAAGAATGGAACGTTGGGCAGACACAAAAAAAGTGGAGGATTCAGGAAGTTACCCCTAAGGCTTATGGTGACACGAGCTCGAGACATCATTTTCATTTGTAAATAATTCTACTTTCAACCTAGTCGTCAACTCCCAAACGAAAGGAGTCACTGGCTTTTGAGACAATTGCTGACCCTAAATACGAAAAATGCCTCAAACAAAAATCAAAACTCCTTGAATTAGTTCGAAGGGACCTCAACGATCAAGAGAAATCGGAAAATACCCCGAACTCTTTCTGAAACATGGGCTAATTCCCACTTCGAAGGTATCCAGTGAAACTTCCTATACTGTTCCACACCACAGAGGCAGAGGCCCAAGAACGGTGGTCCAGCAGTCGCGCACTTCGTAAACACGACAGATGACCCTCCGATTCCTCGGATCTGAACAAGATGCATTCTTCTACATGGTATATAGTGGAGGGAAAAACCGGCCCTAACCGTTGAAATGGGGAAAGCAGTGAGTGCTCGCATCTGTCCTGATCGTCTGAAGCAGCTGCGCCATTCCCACGATCCAGTCGCCAGGATGCGGGTTGCCAAAAACCCTAAGAACGGTTGAAACTATCAGTCATCAACTCCATGACTCGAAACCTCGAATTTCAGCTTCTCCTTGATTTCAGGCATGTGGGTGCGATGGATTTCAAAGGCACCAATATTGAGAAGAGGGTCCCAGGTAAACGTCTAAAACATTCAGTCATCCCGTCACTCAACGATACTCCGCAGCTGCAGAAATAAGTTAATTTTACTACTCGGAAGTGCGTGCAAGTGAAGTTGACGGCTAAGCTGGCGTTGTGGATAGCGGGGAGGAGCCGTTGCGGACTCCTTCCCGCTACATAAAACGTGCGGCAAGCACGTTCATGTCGAGATCACACAGCATGGACGGTGAGCTGCCAATCACGGTCAATTGTAGAGCAAAACGAAACATGGTAGGGCGCAGAGTAGTAGCGTGTTTGATCATAGTTATGCGTGTGCCTGGTCGCGCATGCTGCCTTTCGCTTCCTTAGCCTGCATATGGGGCCCCGAATGGCTACTACCCTCCAGCCTCGTTTCGGTGCACTTTGAGTGGCAAAAGTGGCTCACACTTATGGACTCGTTCATCTCGCACGCACATGGCGAGAAGCGGAATCCTTGAAGGTTGGGGTGCGTATCTTGAAAGGCATAGTGCATGATCACCTGAGAGGTACACTTTTGCCCGGAGCCACTTGACGCCGTGCAGCAGTGAAGAACGTGGTTTGTGATGAGACTGATAATCCTGGGTCTCCGACTGCTATTTGATACGCGATGCGCAGGCCACATTGACCCAGTACGGTTCACTTTAGGCATACGGCTTCAGTCACACAAGTGCCTGTATGCATGGAA